TTTTAACGCGTAGATTACAAAAATACCAAAGTTATTCCGCGAAAATCTGTTATTACCGAAATATTTCATTGCGAAAATCTCCATATTGTAATTCGATCTTTTAATGCAGATAATATCGATCTCATTTTAAGCAACGATATATCGTTTAATGCATTAATCGATTTCTAATCGTTATTATCGAGAAAATATAGAAGAAGAAAGGAAATAGCGTAACAAGTAGAAAAGCAAAGTATTTTAATTTAAGATTCTCAAGTTTATATAAAACGTTGCGGATAATTTAGACCGAAATCCGCGGTCCCTACTTTACCCTACTGTCCCACCCTGTTCCATCCAATCGTCCTTCCATTTAAAGAATTGAAAATCATCTTCGTTTCTCGAGAAATATCGTTGAGTTGTATTTATCGAGGTTCACCTTTATGGAAAACATACTTTTATTCACTTCGCCCTTACTGCTCACAATAACTCGTATATGTACGGTGTATTTGCACTACATGGTGTAGAGAAGAATAGATATAAGGATGTAAAAACCAAAGCTCCTCAAGATCCGAAAGGTCAAATGAGGCATCGATAAACAAATGAATAGACAAGCTCTGGGAATAATTAATAAAATTATTTATTTTAACTAATAACATTTTTAAGTGTTAAAAATTTGTCATTGTTTATTCTTGCAATAAAATTGTCTTTGTAGGGTAATTTTAATATTTTTATATACTACGTATCAAAATAAATCGATTAATTAATATATAACATAATGTGTATTTCGCGAAACGTGGCTTTACTAGCAATGTGTCGAACTTCGACTTTCATGACAGCTATTCAAATACGTATGACGTTTTGTTTCTTCTTTCGCCGCGAAAAGTATGACAATAGGATAATTAATTCCTGATCAAATTTAATAATTAAATCGAAATTAGATCTCGACAGATTAAATTATATAAAATCTTCAATAATCGAAATTAAAATGTCCTCTTGATTAAAAGATTCAATTTTTCATTGATGTTAGAAAATTTTGAATTCTATGTCTTTTTAATAAATTTCTAGTTAATTTCCTAGATCCTGTAAATACTATAATAAAATAATGTTCTGTCTAGCACCTTAATTACGGTGAGTATGATAAGGTCAACGGTGAAGTCAACAGAAACGTTATTTGTCCACGACAAAGCAACTTCTGGAAATAATATTAATATACACACGCTACTATACTACTTAAGATGATTATAACTAAGAATGTCAACAACTTTTGATTGATTAGTTGAAACATAACGATCCATTATAATATGAATGGAAATTTGAATAAATTGTTTAATTCAACAATTACAAGAATATGAATACTTTTATTATTGCAAATTCGCAAAAAATTGCTTATAATCAAATTTAATGAATGACAAATTGCTTAGTTTGACTGAAATAACTCTACCTTATTCAGTGGGGAGATGTAAGTACTTCTACATTTTATACTTGATAAAAATGATAAGCCAGAAGAATAATTTTTATTTTTCACTGTATTTTAAAAACAGCCTATTGAATATACATACATGTATTTACGCGTCTCGACAGATATATAAAAATACATATTTCGAAAACACACACGTCGCACCAACTGTGTAACACACGATACACAACAAATATACTTATACCAAGATTCATCATCAAATCATTTCTTTTATGTACAGATTATTTAATATAAATAAAAAATTATCCTTTATTTGTAATGTACAAAATAGTTCAGAGAAACTATCCTCGATTACTTCAAGGCTCAAAAAACTTGTCATGAAATATTATTGTGCGTGTGTTGAAGGTGTGTATATTACATATTTACATATGTACACGTTCACTGGCGAAAATACCTCGAAATTTGAAAACCACAAGGGAAAAACATAGTAAGTCACGCTTTCATTTTGAATTCAATATGCAGATAACCAAACGCATGTTACCAAACAAATCCATATTTAGCTTGTGGATATTTATGCATTTATATGAAAATAATACGATACAAAATAGACAAAATATGCAGAAATATATAATACATCCAAAGTAAAGCGCTAATCATGATATTTAGTGGATAGAACAATTTTCTATTTAATTTCCATTCTTTCGGTTGAATTCATAAAAATATGATTTGCATAGAAGTCTGCACTCTACGCATATTATATACCTAGAACTGTTTATATAGTCAAACTTCGATACCTCGAACTTCCTTAACTTAAAAACCTTCATAAAATAGATAAAAATGGGATCTATAAATAAAAATTTGATTACACCTCAAAGTATCTACATCTTATAATGAAATACCGTAACCTAATCAACCTGCATTCACCATGCTCTCCTGACCCTCGCTCCACCTGCGCAAGTCCCACAAATACAACCTATATAAGTTAAACTGCTATTCACTTTTCTAAATTCCAAATAGATAGTCCATCTTTGAAAGATGAATTCCTTTTTCTTCGAGCCTCTACAATTCGAAAAATATTTCGCTCGTTAAATTTCTCTTAAATTTCGCGAAAAATAAAATTCGACATAGTCTCCATAGGTCAAAGATTTTAGCTTTTCCCTTGAAATTCGAGTTCCTGAAGTTCGACTGCAAAAGTATTTTTAGTTACTCTATAAGTGACATACAAATTATGCATTTATAGGAAATTTGAAAGTGCAAAATACAGAGAAATAAAATATTCAAAATATAGTATAATAATAGTACTTAAAAGTCAAAACTAATGTCTATCTAGATTCCATTTTCTAAATCGAATTTGCGAAAGTATGAATCATGGACATAATTTAAAAATCACGATATCAACAAAAATGAATTTGTCATATTTTTCCTATGTGATCTTCGTTTATATCGGTAATAAACACATATATAATTTATTTAAGTGTTGCATATTGTACATCACTGAATAGTTCTGTAATAACAAAACATGTTACAGTGAACGTTTTATGCGAAGTGTCATTGGATACACAAGAGATGTAAAAAGTGTCTTGTGTATAACACTTCACCTGACAACTTCGTTATTGTATGTCTGTGAAACGATTCAATCATATGATCTGTGCTATGAGATATAGTAGAGACCACAAGTATTGTATTGGCAATGAGATTTAAAGAGAGAAAATTGGAAAATTTAGAAATGTATAGAATAAACATAATATGTTATAATATATTATATAATATATTATAAAACAATATACAGAAAACATACAAGATAAAGTACCTATAATAATATTTAGTGAATGCAATAAATGCCCATATTTAAATTCCACCATAAAAATATGAATTTGTGTAAGAATATGATTGGCCAAGAACTTTCTATGTATCTGCGGATTTCTATATAGTAATTAAAACATTCAATTTCAACAATTTCTTCATTCCTGAATGATTTAAATTTTAATTTCATTAGTTAACCGATTCAGGTTAATAAATTCAATGAATAAAAATATAGATCTTTGCAATACTATTTTAGGTATCATTAATAGTATGTGATAAGTTTCAATTAGTTATTGTGTTATTTAGTTAATAGCTATGATCTCTGCTATATATGTAGATTGTACATATGATATATATATGATATATATATATATATATATATACATATGTATAATTATGATTGTGAACAGAACAACGCATATAACTCCTGATATTTTACAGATATCATGACGCAAAATGTGGATATCATCGCTTGAACAAATATGAGGATCTATATATCTTCTGTACAGCCTCGTTGACAGTATTATTAATTTACTCCTATAAATAACATAATCCAATGTTACATAAACATTAAATACCTTACATATATGTATGTATACGTATATACATACCTAGATAATACTATTGACATCTCATTGAAAAAGTAGTACGAATAATTAGTGGAACAAACATAATGTTATGTCTTACACATATTCATCTCTGTGTATTAAAGGAATCATATATGACTGACAAGTATGATTCTGTGTATACTGACTAATTCGCGCTTTTTATCTTATAACTAGCTTATTATTATTTATAGGCTCGTTACAGGAATTAGGAATTAGTTGTTTGTTATACTGCAGAATGGTTCTTCAGTTTGTTTTCCACCGAATTAAATTATTACGTTCGATTTACCCGAACATTTCACTTTTAGAAAAGTACAATCAGTCACAAAAGTTCTCACACGCCCTACTAACAAAGATGTATATTTAATATAGTATCATTTTTAAATCTAATATATTATTAAGATATATTAAATATATTTTGTTTTTATTAATTTAACGAAGTATTTTTATTCCATATATGAGAATATATAGAACTATAAAATGTAAATGTGAATATAAATCATGTAAATCATATTCATAAATAAGAATGTGACGAAGATGTTTTATTTTAATAAAAACTAGTCTTTTTATAGAGCATACCAAGAATTTTGTAACTGACTGTATATCATTTTCACGCTTAATTGTTTTAATGTGTACTTATGTATACTCGTTGGTTTCATTTGCTGAATTTTCACGTTGATTCTTCTAAATACTAATTGTGCATGATCTGTATTCATTTATAGATACTCCATCCTAATATTCCTGTCACCAGTTATTTTCTAATTTCAAAAGAAATGTTTATTGATATTGATTACATCTATAGAAAGACTGTATAATTTAATTTCCCTTTCTCAATAGAATAATACACTTCTTTTGTTTTCATTTATGATTGTCTTACAAAATAACTTATAATTATTTTACTAAACTTTCATGATTTATGTACAGAAATAATTTACAGTTATTTATAGTTAACACATAGGGAAATTACAAGCATATTTTACTATTGTAAAGATTTGGTAAGTAGACACAATGTTAAAAACATTTCTCTATTATTTGGCCATTTGCATAGATCTGAATTTAAATTACATTTTACATTTAATTTTACTTTTCATCGAAGGAAAATATTCTCTAAAAAAAAATTTTTCTGAAGAGTTAAATACAACTAAGAAGATATTTGTTATTATAAGTAAAATAACATTTATTTTACGACCTTTTTTTTGGAAAAATATTCTCTGATGATCAAAGTATGAATGCAGTTTTTCTTTCTTTCTTGTAATAAATTGTAGACTTTAACTTCAACTTCAAGTTCAAACTTCATTTACAACAAAGAGTGTCGAATATATATTTTTATAATTTTTATAGTTTTAGATAATATATTTTTATAGTTTTGAGTCAAATGGTTGTAATGACTGCAGTTTATATCTTGTTTAAAAATTGAAGTTATTTCTGCACAGTATATCAACAATCACTGTTCTATCATTAGCACCAATGTTCTATTAAATCAATCATTTTTCAATGTGAGTATGATTTCTTTCTATGAAGAGAGTTTCTTTCAAAGTATTAAAATTGGATATAGATAGACAGAACATTGTTTATTTAAAAAAAAAAAAACTAAACAGATATCCGTCTTGAAATAAAATCTCTATACGTCTCAATTTCCTTCAAGAGCAATCCTTAATTACAGACTCTTACTTGAGAACTTAATCTCTATACTATTAAAATTTAATATAGTTAGTGTTTTTAATGACATATATATTTTTAAGTATTGAAAATATTCAACTGGTAATGTTTTTAAAGTTCTCTATCAAATTGTAGAAACTAGATAAAAACTCAAGCTTTTTCCAGAGATGAACAATCTGTAGTTAAAGATTTCTTTCTTTTCCAACCTATTATTATTATTAAAATATTAGTGGCTCTATTTCTCTAAATCACTCGACTGTTTCTTCAAATCACTCGATATAACCGATTCTACTTGTTCACTCAAAACCTATCAACATCTCATCTAAAACCAACCGAAACACCTGCACACAATTAACTGCGCATTAAGTACTCCACGAAAACCATCTCCAATATAAAAAGAAGCCTATGAACATGATTAAGTCAGGAACATCACGGATCTCAACATTCCTCCGTCGAGGTGCTGGAGATCTGAGTACTGGCTCCGCTAGAGAAGCTACTCCTGCAAGTTTCCACAGCTAGCGCCGTGTCTGGTACTTGGACAAACTGAACCTTCTCCTTGGGCCATCGATTCTTCCCATACATGCAACTGAATATATTATACTTATGATCCATCTCAAAGTGACTGAGATTACTACTGTGTCTCCTCCTCAACACCTTTTTAGCCATTAAGCTTCTATTGTTCTTATAAGATAATTCTCTCCTGAAGCAGAAGAACCTTCTTAACTCGCGTTTCACTCTTTTTGATCTATAGCCGAACAACAGTGGGCTGATATACGCGGCCAAGATCAAGAGGCTGGAGGCCAACACGTCGTATTTATGGGGCAAATGTTGGTCAGTGGATCGAGGTAGATTCTTCATTACCAGTAATATCACGTACGGCGACCAGCAGATCAGACCCATCACGATCACCAGAGCACTTATTCGCGCCGCCCTCGTCTCCTCTCTGTGCCTAAATATAGAACCATTGCTTATCCTGTCCTTTAGTGAGTGTATGTAACTCGAGGTGCTCCTCACGCTCGAAACACGATGCAGGTTGTCGTTCTTGCTTGGCGCTGGGGTTATTGTCACTATTGGTGTTAGCAAACACGAGGACGATTCTGTAACGCTGCTACCGTTAGTCTTTTCAGTCTTGTTACTGTTTTCATATGTATGAGATAGAGAAGCGTCTTTATTCAAGGATGACGATAACCTACGGTTGGGCCTCGTTTCTGAAAAATTCACTGATAATTCAGAGTCTCCTTGACTCAATATTTGGTTCTTCAACTCGACTTCTACTTGCACCAAATGTTCTTCTTTTCGATCGTTGTTAATATCGTTCTGTTTGCTTTCGTTATTTTCTTCTTTGATAATTTCAGAGACTCGCAGTGATTCTTGGAATAAATTCGAAGAATAGTTACAGAGAGGTGAGAATTTTTTCTCGAAGCATTCAAAGTGAGTTTCTTCCTCAGAATCGCTGCTCTCGTCGATAAAACTTTTTGAGATCCAATTATTCACCTGTTTGTGCTCTTTTAGATCTCTAGACGATTCTTTCGTCTCTTCGTATCCCGAAGTTTGCAAATCTTGCTTCTGCAAATCCTGACACTTACTCTCCCTGGCATCTTTCTCCATTGCCGAATTACAATTGCTTAAATTATCATTAATATAGTTTTCTTCATTTGTAGATTGAGAGACTTCGACTCTCTGTGGACCAACCGTAAAAACAATTCTAGAAGGCTTTTTATCCTCCGCTTCTTCGGGTGGAGAAGATGCATCCATATCTATAGAGGAAGCAAAGGATCGCCTTCTAGACAACTGACCAGTGGGTTGCATAGTCTCGCTGGTCTCGTCAATCGAAGACAAACTCGATATCTTAGGTAACTTTCTAATATCCTCCACAGTATCCGCCTGAAGACGTTGGTTCCTCAAAGGGCCATTCTGCTCTTCGCTAAAGCTCGCTGAAGATAATATAGGCCTAGAGCCACTTCTTCTAGCTCTTTCCGAATTTCTATGTGCAGCCACGTAAATAGTGACATAGATCCAGCAGACGGCAATGAATGGTATGAAATAAGCAAATATGGTATAAACAATGGCATAAATAAAGCCATAAGTGATTGTATCGTCTATAAGCGTATCAAAGATCACAGTAGTATTCTCTATGAGATCTATGTCGTCACTGAGACTAACAGTTTCCACTATCTCAGGAATTGCACTGGTATTGAGCTCGTTGTTATTGGTTTTGTTCTCCAATACTGTGAGAGTCGATTCTGTGGAGAAATTTACGGAATTTTGTTCTTTGGAGATGCAGAAAAGCCAAAGACTTTGAGGATTTGAGTTGAAGAAAGCGAGAAAGCCGAAAACTATGGAGATCATCCAGGTGGAGAGGATTAGAATGCCGCATTTCAGTTTGTCCACACGAGCACGGTAACGTAGAGGATCCATCACGGCGAAGTATTGATCCACAGCGATTAACAGGACTGAGAAGACCGAAGATGTTGTTACTACCGCCATTGCTCCCTCTGACATTGAACAAATATTCGGTACAGGTGCAGAGTCGAGTATGGAGGAGTTGGAAGACGTTGAAACAGCGTCCATTATTAGTAGGGGGTTCATGATGGCACAGACCAACAGGTTTGACACGGTTAGGTTCATGACAAACCTGGAAACAGAAACAATGTGTTCCTTGTCACCTAATAATATTGCAATACATCCAATTCTGTTTTTATATGGATCTTGACGTGATATGGTGTAATTAAGAAATATGTATTTTTCTTTTTGCATGATTATCTGCAGTCTAATAATATGATATGCTATTACGATATAACACGGTTCTGTCATATTAGTACGATAATAAAACGAAGAATAACCTGTTGGAAATGGTCCGTAGCGACGGACGTACGAGGAATGCCAGTAGAAGTATGACATTGAGTAAGAAACAGCCAAAAAGGGCGAAACTCCAGACCACTATCGCATGATTATTCCACCATCCTTCTAGATCTCCTAGATCTGAAATCGATCCTTCTCCGACGATGTCTGGCGAATCTCCAACCATTCATGTATAATAAATGTGACGCAATTCTGAAACGATAAGAAAGAAACGAAATTTATCAATGATTTTAGAAACGAGTTTCGTAAAGTTTCGTTATACTACGTTATTAATAAACAGCGGATATTTATGCAAATTCGCATTGTTATGAACATAATTAAGAAGATGGAACCTAGGTAATAAAAGGTTTTGTTTCGATCTTTGATTTTTGAAAATTAACCTGTAAATTCTTTATTATTATAAATGTAATAATATATATTTATCATTATACATATTTGAAACATAGGAATAATCTAGCACAAGGTACGGTCTACCCGTGCTAGATTGCATGGATATTTTCACAGAATGCGCATACGGGAAAATCCGTTAAGTCTAAATATACTCTGATGGTAACACTGTGCCGCAATATGTATGTATATTGAGAGATTACGCGCCATAATTTCAAGAAAAATTGCCCTATTTCGCCAGTTCATTCAATTCCACTTCTTATTCATTGTTCCAGCCGTTCCTCTCGTTCAGCTATCAGCAGTCAAGATGCAGTTATTTTCGTTCGAAATACACTGTGACTTCGATCATTTTAAAATGTTTGATTAATCTACCAGACGTTTATGAGAGAAGTTAAACAGACTGTTACCCGCATAGATCAACAAGTTTAATAAAGAAACCCATCGTTCAAACTCGAGCTTGATTTCTGCTTTTGCAGTAAATGCAAACCTTGCTTATGTTTTGGAAACTCCACCGAATATCTACAGTGACTCACGCGTGTATTCGAACACCTGCCATAGATTATTTGTTAGATACATATATATATATACACATATGTATATATATGTAGAATTCGCTGTAGCGGTACCGGCAGTTTTTTTGCGAATATCTCGGAAACCAAGGTCGATGCGTCGGTTACACGTATGAGAAAAAGTTGTCTAAAATGTTAATTTCTACAACGTATTCAAAAATTATCGAAATCGGTCAGGTGGACGAGATACCGATAATTAACATAAATATCTGTTAGGTCGATAGAACTCTTTATTTACTCGCGCGATAGTTTATAAATCTTTTTCGAAACACCACAAATTATCTACGACGCGCTAAGATATATTATGCGTAATCTTCATGTATGGCATTTATCATTCGGTGTTCGGATCTCGTGTTAAGTTTCTCTTAATCTCTGACACTCGGTAATTCGACACGCGGTGATTCATAGATATCCTGTTACGCGTTTGAAAATGAGAATTAATAGCAAAAAGCGCTGCGCTTTTTACGATTCCTTTGTCTGGAACTAAGGAGCGCGAACTTTTATTGTTCGTGGTCGATGGTTAGACACGTCATTACGAGAAAGAAATTTTGTATAAATACAAGGAATACGAACAAAGGCGTGATAAAAATAAAAGACATAACGAATTAAATTACCAAGAAAAATTAATGTTTCCGTTAATTCTTCGTAACACTAATTATTTGATTAACTCGACTGTATTTAATTTTTTAATTATTCAAAATATTCCATTTTCAATGAAAACCAATAATTATATCGTTGCATCGTAAATCTACAAGTACACCTATACAAAACAAATACAACGTACACACACGTATACATAGTATATATAGGAGTTTCACAATTTTCGGAGAATGAATTAAGATCTTGGGGGTAAATTACGCAGTAATTCATTAGTAAATTATATTGAACGATAAGCTTAAGTAAAATGCTGTATCATTTATGGAGTTTTTTCCTAGGATACACGATATGTAATTACCATGTGATGTAAATCTTGCATTATTTATCGTCATAGCAATTATACGATCATTCGATAAAGTTAAAATGCAGTAATTAAGGATACCAGAAATGTAGATGTCCATGTGAAAAGTTAGAATTAATACAATAACAACAACAATAATAACCGTAACTCTAAGTTAAACATAATTAATGAAAAGTAACTCGAACGAAGTTAGGTTATTCAAATTTAACATGTCTAACTTCATTCTATATCTTTTCCGTGACAGAGATTAATAAGAAAATTCAACGAAATTAAAAATTACAATATCAAGTAATTCAATGCCAAGGTGTTATGGCGTCCAATGATTCTTTTATTTATCGCGGAACCGTACATCCCAATATACGTCTCAAATGACGTCTCAACGACGTCAGACGAATTATGGTAAAAGTTACTTTGAAATCTATCTTTTACACATCGGTTAACCTCGAAAAAGTTAAACCGAGGCGAGATCGAGATACGGGGGAAAAAAGTCGAAAACTGCAACGGACCAGAGGGGATCGTATTTATTTCGAGGAAAAAACCTGGATGTTCACCTATCGACAGCAAGTTGTGAGAATGAATCGCAGCTCGTGACGCAGATGCGGGGTGACTTTAGTATTTTGCTCGCAAAATGCATTAACATATCAGCAAACAGCTTGCTCGAAACGCAAGAAACAAAAGAAAGGTTAAGACGTCTTAAGTTTTGGCGGTAAAAATAAATATACGCGGTTGAAGCAGCGTCTATATCGCTTGACGTCATAGGCAAGGTTTTTTAATACATTTTAAAATATGTAATTGGCTTGCTAGTTTTCTCGTTGCTATTACGCGCTTATTGCAATTCTCTCTCGTTAACCGCGAGATTTACAGAGAAGCGAGTCTTAATAGAGAAACAGTTACGCGTGTAAGTCCGACTAAATAAATTTCGAAAAATTTGGCTTCCGCAATATGAGATAACAGACTTTGAAATTTTTATGTTAATTGTGAACTAAATTAAATTGAATTTGGTATAAGGACGTTCTCTGTTTCTGACAGAAGAGAATACAGAATTTTAATATACATTGGATGAATACGTATAGAATTATGAAAAATGTATAGAATTTTATACAAATGTTGATGAAGATAAAATTCAAACGAAAAGTTGTTGCTACAATTGAGAATCGGAGATCGTCTTGCAAAAATCTTTGGTAAATTTAACAAAACAATAAAATTAAAAAAAACTGCTGTAACAATTTCCTTGTTCTAAAAAAAAAAAAAAACACCTTTCTTTGAATAAGAAATCCTAGAAATTAGCCAGTTTTTATATTTCTACGCTCAAGGATTGAAAAATCGCATTGCATTGCAAGAATACGAGGCCACTGCGAAACAATCTTTTTACTTCTGCAACTTGTACGAGTTACGTGGTTGAAATAAAGCTATTTTTCTCATCAAAAACAAAACAATACGTGCAAAAGGTGCCACACACTTTTTAAATTGTCATTAAAAATACATATCGATTGTCCATTTCCTGAGAAATCATAGTTTCCCGTATTTATCAGCTTTCAACCACAGTCACAAGACAGTAATTAAATACAAAAAATAAGCAGGAACGAAATTTAATTATGGTTTGAAGCGGAAACCACGATTTCTCTAGAGAAATTTCTAGGCTGTGGAAACTTTTTCCGATAAGAAGAAAACTCGCGATATCCTTCTCTCCCTTGTAACGGTGATTTTGTTGTAAAAATAATTTTGAAAGCTGCAGGGCCAAAATATTCGCACCTACTACTGACGGTGTTTCATATTTTTACATCGTTTTCCATAATTTATGAGAGATTTCTTCCTATTTTTCAAATTCACCTACGTAATAAATAAATATTTTCAATTTTCAAAAATTTGATTTTCGCGCAATTACAATTATCAATTATTAAAAGAAGATTAAAAATACCATGGTACTAGCAATACCAAATCAGACACGCTTCTTACAAAAATTCAGTTAACAACTTCGTTCGGTTATTTAAAAAAAAAAAAGAAACTGGTGTACTAAAAAAAGGGACGAACCAAAAGTTGCTCAATTTGTCAAGGAAAATATGCTGGAACGCGTAACGGAAGATTATTTTTCGCTGCTTCCGACGCGACGTTCCAAACATCATAACTCAACGATGAGTAGTTACGGGTTATTTGCATGTTGCGAGATACCTAAGATCAAAGATCTCGAAAAATGAATAGCTTCCACTAACGATATTTTGTTCTTTCTTTACAGCCTACCACCGGTCATTTGTTCGTTTTCCTACACCTTTCCATCATCTTGTGACGTACGTATGTATTACGGACGCAATCCGCAGGGTATCTACGTATACAGAGTCGGCGTTACATACCGTTGCCTGGCAAAGTCCAAAGAAATGCTGGAACAGCGAACATGCCAACATGCTGCAATATCAAACAGTAGGGGTACAGCGAGCGGCGTCTTTCATCGTACTCGATGCCTCGTCCCTTTAGATTGGTCGTACGAACAAACGGGATGTTCGAATTGGTTAAATTCGATATCTTCGATTCACCTAACCCCTAATAATTAGCGATGTGTTTGTTTGCGTTATTCTCTGTAATGGCCGGACGCTCGCAATTACGTACAGTTTCCTTACCCTTAGTATTGAATCCCCGCATAGTCTTACGAATGATTCGAACATAGTCTTATTACCGTAAATTGATGCAGTTCGTGGGTGCGTTCCTCTTGAACGAGCGTTTTCAAAGCATCGAAAAAGCGGGAAAGCGCGACAGACCGCGTTTCGTCGTCAGCGGGATTTTCAATTCGCATCGTCGTTACGTACGAAACTACAACGATACTAGTTATTTAAACAGGAAAGCGTGAAGCTAGGTGACCTTCTACAAGTACATTCCATCGTTTTATATGGCTTCGATACGTAAATAGATATTACCTTCTAGCCGACCCTCGTATATAATTATGAGAAGTATATGGTCTTATCCAATAATAAGTTTGATCGGAGATTAGTTTTATTAATAGACAGAATAACGAATATATTTTAATTTCAATGTCTGTCGCGAAACGTATTTTAGTTTCTGTTCGATGTTTGTCACTGTAAAACGTTTCTTCCGTTATTGCGTATTTCCTCAAGAAGCGTTTCGTTTCTATCCTTATTTTTCAAATTATGTCATCGCGAGGCCGATAGCAATTTCCTCGTCGCGTTAGACAGGATGCTACGGTATATGCTGAACTTGCTTCTATCGCTATATAGCGAGATTGACCAGAGGAAATTATCGTCGCACGAAGCAATTTCGTATCGCACACGCGATTCACGTGCAGCGTTCTTTGGCTCGCGTGACAGACCGTTGAAAACGGTCGTCAACGACGTTTAACGTTTAGTGTGACATCTGCTTCGAATCCGCGTTGGTCGTTGTTGCGCATGCGCATCGATCTACGCTACGAGTTTCAAACGCTTCTTAAAGCTTCGTTCAAAATGGTCAAGTTATCTGAATTTAAGCGATTTAAGGCCCGATGCGGACCAGTGATTTTTCTCTGGGCGATATCGCTGCGATTATAATATGTCTGTTCTCGGTGTTTTTAAACTAGGAAAACAAACGAAGACATATAGCTGCAGCGATATTACGCAGGCAAAAATAGCTCACCTGTATCGGGTACTAAATTTCAATAACTTGAAACCTCTTCATCACCGTGGAATTGTCATTCACTTTACTCGGATATTACGTAAAATTGTATTAACGAAAATGATAGTTTTTTCGAGTTTCTAAATCTCGTTAATTAAATCACTAGATTTGTGTAATAATTAGGCTGTGGATATTTTTGCAAATTTATATTTTGATCGACACGATCAAAGAGATGGAACCAATATAGAAATGTGGATCATCCACTAAATAAAATAACGCGAGTGTTATATTTCGAATATTTTACATACAGGGTGGTTGGTAACT